TATTGTACACAGGGGAGCTCAAAACTGTTATCAGTAGATTTTTTCAATAAAGTTCTTGCAGGCCAGGAGAGAAGGGATGATATATTCAAATTGCTTAAGGAAAAACAGGCCAACCAAGAGTATTTCTCCTGAAAACTGGGAGAAATGGCAGGCTCCTGTGTTTAAAATCTACATGTTAAGTAAGAAGGCAGCTGGTTTGAGGTGAGCAGGGTGTGGCATGGTCCTGATGGCCTTCAGCATGTTCCCTGTGGCTGCTGTGGGAGGATGGATTGGAGGCCAAGAATCAGAGTCCAGGGGAAGTGCCTTGGCAGGGAATTGCTGGGCTGGAGGCCTCACCTGCACAACCTCAGGAAGCAGCAGATCAGATCCCACCCAGTAGGAAAAAGCCCCAGTGGTGTCCAGCAGGAGAAAGTATGCAGGAAAAAAAATGGAGCCAAACTGAACAGAGAGCGTTCAATCCTTGGAGAACTGTGGAAGAGAAACTGGGACGAGACATTCTGGAACTTTCCTTGATGATGAGTAATGGAAGAGTCCGCATGTTACCAGGGCGGGCAGTGAGACTGCTGTCCAGACGCCCGTCCCTGGAACTGAGGGTCCTCTTCATGTGTCTATGCACTCCAGGAAGCAGCAGTGGGCACTCACCCAACTCCGTGAGGTCTTTTAGGAGGAGGCCAGGAACCCTGACTTGGTTGATACACCTCATCCCTGGGGCTATTTGGGAGCCAGAGCCCTGACCCTGCCCGTCAGCTGTCCTCCAACTTCCACAGGGCCAGTTCTAATGAACCTTTTTCAGTGCTCACAGAAGCTGTGTGGCATTGGTGAGCCACCTACTCTCTTTGGGCCTCCAGGATCACCTTCCCTAAAGAGCTTCCCTCTATGCCTTACCTGCTGAGATTTGCTGGGTTCTCCCACACATGAATGAGCAACCATGCTCCACCACTTGTTCTCACTTCGAAGTTGTCTTTAATTTATCAGCCTGTGTGGTATCAGCATGTGTCAAATACTTCCTCTGCCCTGATATCTTAAAACAAGATTGAGATGCAGAGAGAATATGGGCCCATTTTACAGGTAAGCAAGCTGAGGCTTAGAGTTAAAAAATAATTCTTTTAGGTGACACATTTTACTGTTGGGGAAAACAGTCACACCAGACCAGTGCTGCCAGCTGATGACACTGTTGTGACTCCTTGTTCCCTTGGGGCCTGATTATAAACTGAGAACTTAGATGATCTCATGTCCAGCCCAGACAAAGAACTGGGTCCAGAGAGGCAAAGCAGACTGTCTGAGGTATACGCCTCTGTGCTCAAGTGGAAAATAGACATTCCTTAACTATTTTGGAAAGTAGACATTCCTTAACCTTTTTGTCATGGGCTAGATGCTGGGAACATGAAGAACAGAGCAGCATTCTGCCCCCATGTTGGGGTGGGGAAGTCTTATCTATAGTGGCCTCTAAACAGAGGGAAAACCTGACCTACCCAGACCTAACCAGATTCACCACTTCTTAGTTAGACAGTTTCAATGGACTTTCCAATCACCAATTTTAGGATCGCAGATCAGGCCTTAGACATGTGGTCATGATGGCAGCCACTGATGGAGCCTGGCTGTGTACTGGCAATGCACTGAATTACCAGGGCCTCCAGCCATGGTGCCCCAGGCCACATCCTGTAAGCAGCCCAAACCTACCCACGGCAAATGGATCTGAGACGTGCTCTCCATTTCCATGTGTGGATACCTCTTTCTCTTCTGCGAAAAGAGAAGGAATAAATCAAGATCCTAGTTATAACAGCATTGAAAATGAAATTTAGGAATAAATGTAACCAAAGAAGTAAAAGATCTGGACACTAAAAACTATAAATCATTGATGAAAGAAATTCAAGAAAAGACAAGCACATGGAAAAATGACTGGGCACATGTACTGGGCACACTGATGTTTATATAGGTGTGCTACCCTAATGATCTTTACATTCAGTGCAACCCCTATCAAAAGTCCAATAAGATCTTTTAAAGAAATAAAAAGTTCCTAAAATTTTTATGGAACCATAAGATCACAAATTTCCAAAACAATCAAACAAACAAAGCCAGAGACATCACATAGCCTGATCTCAAACTAGATTACAAACTATGCTAATCAAAGCAACTTAGCTAGAAGGGACACAAACCAGTGGAACAAATAGAAATCCCAGGAGCAGACCCACAAGCTATGGTCAGTCTGTTTTTGACAAAAGTGCTAGGAACACCTAAGGCGGAAAGGACAGTTTCTTCAACCAACAGAATTGGGAAAATTGGATAGCCACATGCAGAAGAATGAAATTAGACCCTTAATGCACACCCCTTAGAAAACCAAGTGAAGAAGGATTAAAGATTTGAACGTAAGGCCTGAAACTGTGAAAATACTGAAAGAAAACATAAGGAGAGGCTCCATCGTTAGGTCTGGTCAGTGGATTTCTGGAAATGACCCCAAAAGTACAACGAGCAAAGGTAATAATAGAGAAACAGAATTGAATCATCTAAAAAGTTTCTACACAGCAAAGGAAGCCATGAAGTAAACAACTTGTACACTGCGAGAGAATATTTGTGCACCATGCGTCTGATAAAAGAGGGTCAAACCTAAAATATATAAAGAACTTAATAGTAAGAATACAAATAGCCCAATTTGAAATGGGCCAAAAAAATTGAAATAGACATTTCTTAAATGAGGACATACAAAAATGACCAAAAACATGAAAAAAATTCCCAACATCAAATTAAAAATACAATGCAATGTCACTTCACTTTTTTAAAGATGGCTGTTACCAAAAACAAGAAAGATAGCAAGCATTTGATCTGGGGGTTTAGTTCAGCGGCATAAGCACCTCCCTGGCAAGCGTGAGGTCATGAGTTCGATACCCAGTACCAAAAAAAAGCAAAACAATAACAAGCATTCACAAAAATGTGGAGAAAAGGGAACCCTTCTTGTATATTGTTGATGGGAATGGAAATTATTACTAAGGAAAGCAGTATGGAGAGCCCTCAGAATATTAAAATAGAACTGCCTTATAATGTGTGTTTGTTCCTGTCCAGGTGGTGCCAGACAACACTGCTGTGGCCTTGATTGCTTTTGTTTGGAGAAGTGTTAAAGCTTTGGTTGTCAGTCTATAGCACGATTGGGAGGTGGTAGCAGCTTTAAGAGGGAAACAAAGGATCAAGATGTGATATTTATATGCAGTGATATCCCATGATGAATATATTCATTATGCAAATATATACTAAGAAAGAAAATTGAGAAAGGGAGGGCCTCGTAGCAGGAAGTTAGGTCCCTGGGGTGACACCCTTCAAGAGGATACTGGGACCACAGCCACTCTCTTCTCTCTTTGGTTCCTGGCTGGGGAGGTGAACAGCTTTCTCTCCTCTCACCATGATGGGCTGCCTCCTCACATTTCCAGAAATAATAGCATCACTCGAAGGTGAAAAGAAACCTTTCCTCTTTTTAAGTTACCTTGGGTACTTGTTACAGTAACAGAAAGCTGCCTAACACAATGAAAAAGTTATCTTTTTATACTTTTTACACCAAGATCCTAAGAATGACATGATTTCAGATATCAGAAAATAACCCTAGAAATAAAATGGAGCTCTTTAGGAAATCGTTAGTAAAGCAGAATTGAGTACAGTTTATCCCAGGAAGATGGATTGGTCCAATATAGTAGAGGTAAAATGTATTAGCTTTTATCTTTCTCCCCAGTCCCTGTCTTTTAAAATTGCATTCTTTGCTCTGTCTTCAGATGAACCCATTGTAATGAACTTAGATTTTGCTATCCCTTTGTTATTTCTTTATGCTTGGAATACACACGTATGTGCCAGAAACCATACAGTATCACTCTTTGACCACATGCACTTAATGCTATGAGCTAAGTGGACCCGTCCTGCTCTGCAACTTACCTCTTTTCTACACCGTGAAATTCATGCCAGGCAGCACCTGTTTAAGCCAGCACTTAGCTACTGGCTAGCTTTGCACTGATGGCCCAGTTACCGGCCCCTTTGCATCCCAGTTGCCTCACCTCTAAAATGGGATGGACAGCACCCACCCGTGAGGCTGTGCACAACTCTAACAGTGGCCCCACCTGCCTGTGCTCCGAAGCAACCAAGTTCTGTTTTGGGAGCTCTCTGCACTGTGCTGGGTGCATCTTAAGTGTTGGGAATGGAACGCTGGCTTTGTTTTGGAGCTGCAGAACCCGAATCTCAGAGAGGCTAAGCAGCCTGTCTCTGTCACTTGAACTGTGATGAGGTGAGCCTCAAGGGCCCATCAGAAAGTGTGCCCTGCCATTGGCACTCGGGCATCCCCCAGAATTCGTAGCTCTCAGTGACAGTGAGTAATTGTTCCTTAAATACATGTTATAATAAACTAAATTACATTACTTTTTATAAACCTATACTAATTCTCCAGGGGCGCCCATCCTATGTAGACCAGGTACCTTTTATTAAGCATTTTAAAATTTAGCAGTGCCAAGAATTTAGCTCAGCGACCTGAGTATTTACAGGGTGAGTGCGAGGTCATGAGTTCGTTCCCCAGTACCAAAAAATAAAATAAAATTTAGTAGAAAGAGTGGTCTTTTGTCACTGTAGGAAATAGAGGTTAAATCTGGAGTGAAATAAGAGCTATATAATCATGGGAAAGGAAGTTGTTATGAGAACAACTACCGAGATGGGAAATGGGTCGGGAAACAGGTATGGAATTTGAAACACTGTGGCAGGGCTATGGTATCTAGCTACTGCTGAGGTATGCGGGGAGGCCTAGTGTTCTGTAAATTCCCTGTGAGTCAGAGTAGCTCTGAATTAGGCAGGGGACGGGACTCAGAAACAGCTGATTTCTCTTCTTCTGCCCTCTGAGACCTGGCAGCTGCCTCCCCCTGATGAACCCAGAGAAAGGAAGGCCAACCATCAAAAGTATGTGCTCACAGGCAAGAAAGGTAGCCCTCTTGGTGACAGGAAGTTAGTGATTGCTATGATTATTGGGGGGTTTTTTCCAGGTTATTGACGATATCCTCACAAGCCAAGAAGATGAGGAAAAGAACAAGAAGAAAAAGAAAACGGAGAAAAAGAAAACCAAAAAAGAGAAAGAAAAGAAAGTCGTAAAGGAAAAACCTAAGGTAAAGAACTTGAGGGGAATATTAGAAATTTGATTTATTTTCTTTTTAGTGCCCTTGTTTTGGTTTGGTGTTTTTTGTTCGTTTGTTTGTTTTTGGTTTTCAACCAATAGATTCATCTCACCTCCACTGAGACTGCATCTGCCCGTTACCTGGAAAACCATTCTGCCTGCAGATAGATTTTTCATTGTATTTCATTTGTATTGATCAACATTCAGTTGCCCTCTTTTCCATGACTGGTAAATATCTATTGGAATAAGCGATGGCTTTGACAACTCATGTACTTTATATAGCTTTGAGTTCTAATTCCTCAAAGTAAATTATTCCATTCATTTTTCCTGAAGGGTAAGGAGAAGCAACAATACATGAGGTGGTGACAACTGGAAAGTAATCATATCTAATTTAGCCCACGGGTGCTCATTCACATTTTCCATTGACACTGACACCCTGGGTATATTTCAGCAGGTGTATTTTTTCTTACTATCCCAAGGCAATCAGAGGCCTGCCCTACCGTGGAGGGGTTGGGAGGAGGTGGGGTGCTTGCCCACGCTGTGGTGGGCTGAGTGGCTGGAATCTTCATCAGGGTCATGGGAGAGGCACAGCCTTCTTCTGCGGCGTGTGGAGCGTGGGCCGGAAGCTGGCACCGTGTTTAAAGAGCACAGCACTGTACCACCCAAAACAGTGCCCCTGCTGACCTTCAGGAGTGGGTCATTTTCCATTACTGGATCCCAGAATGTTCTGATTCACTTCAATTCTAATTCCCATCAGTTCTCAAATGTGGCTCCCTGGTGATGCAGAGACCCCGCTGCAGGCAGCTCAGGTCACAGCAGCCTCACCCCTGGAATTCCACGACACGGTGCCAGCCGCACTCAGCCTCCTGGACTCCTCTGGGGACAGAGTGATTAAAGGGGCCCTGGAGACTGTGCCTGGAAATTACAGTGCCCTCTAACAAAGAGAGGGCGGAAGACAGGCTGTGTGACCAAGGAAGACAAGTGACTAGAGGAGCACTGGGCACCAAGAGCAAGGGGAGAAGTGACAGTGACGGTCCACAGAGGGTGGTGAGGTCTGCATGAATGGGAGGCGTGGGCCATGCATTGCTTGTGTCCTGCCCCAGGGGACGCAGCACAGCTGTCCCCACTTGTCTCCTGTCTGTCCATGCCCCACTGTTCCCTGCAAGAACAGAAGGAAGAGATTCCGCCTGCCAATTCAGGGCACAGTCCACCCTGCTGGCAGATACTGCAGTGAGTTCTGGGATGCCCATGTCAGGACCAAGGCAGTAGACCTCACACTGCCCGTAATGTCAGTGCCAGCTCCTCACACCACCTCAAGAACTGCTCGGTCTTGGGAAGACCCCTGGCCCTGGTGAGGTTACACCACACCAAGAACAGAAGTGTGACAGTTCCACAGTCAGCCTCCTCCCTGCCACCTGGACAGCTCTGGCAGGTTCTTTTGGCTCCTGGGCTCCCTGTAGCCTTAGCTGATGGCCAGATTGTCCCTCCTCCCAATGATATTCCCCACCCACCCCTATCCCCCTGCGATGTCTACCCCAGCATTTCCAGCAAACTCAGGCCTGGAGGCCACCTGGCGCCCATCATCCTGCCTGCACCAAGGAGTTCCATGGACCTGGTTCTAGCAGGGGAAAAGACAGTTAAATTTTAAAATCCTCCCCTCACTCTGCATGCAAGATAATTTTGAAGAAACCATAAATGAGGAGAATTGGAAGAATTTCAATTTTATTGTAAGTATCTCTTCCTCTAAATATGCATGAGGGCATTTTACACTTGCAAATTAAAAATTCACTGTTAGGAGCTTGTTCCATATAAATCTGAAATTATCAGCTACACAATCTGGTTATTGTTGGATGAGGGTGTTTTAATTAACTAGTTATTAAAGAATCACTTAATGATGAACAGTTCAGGACAAAAAGCAAAATTTAAGCACATCAGCACTTATGAAGTATTAGCAAATGCAGGAGAAATTCTTCAGAATTATTTAAAATTTAATTTATTCATAAAAAGGATAGATCTACAAAAGACAGCATGATTATTAAAAGAAGAAATGATCATCTGTAATAAAATTGAGATATTCAAATTTTGCTACTGCATGCTCTTTGGAGATCAGACTGTCTTTCCAGTGGACTCTTTAAAATTTTTTCTTAGAAGTAACCCTAGCAAATCTAGAATGATTCCCAAGACCAGCCATTCAGGTCCCGTGTGAAAAATTCATATTTTGACCTACAGGAAATAGCATTGCCCAGCATGGCTAGAGCACAAGGTGGGGGAAAGGGAAGGAGCCCACTCCCCTTACCCACTCACCACCGCCACCATCTGAGCTCTCCCTGCAGCCTCTCAGAAGGTTCTCCAGGTAACCTTGATGATATTCACTGCCTGCCCACCACTAGTCTGAGAGCTTGGAAAGACCTTGTATTGAAAAGGATAAGAGCCTCTCTTCAGCTAACCTGTTAACAGAGAATAGACTCCTTTCCAAAATGCCACATAGATACAGAGTTGAGTACTCTGGAAGTCCACAAGAGAGTAACAAATCAGCAAAAAACGTGAGAAGAGAGTGTTAATGGGCACAAAAAGATGTGAGAGCCTGCTTGACTTATTCTTTAGCTGAATCTTTGTCTCTGGGTTTCCAATTTACTGCAGGGTTAGGGAAATGAGAAAAGTATTGGAGCCACATTTGAATCTATAATCACACACAAAAACATTTAGAAATCAAATGTATGTGATTAGTAGTCTCACATTTTGTTTGATCACTTTGTCAAGGAGTTTAGCAAAGCATCTTAAGGATTAAACTGTGAAAGTTGTCAATTCCTTGTCTAAGACCATCTGGAGCCCTAGCAGGCTGAGATACACGGAAGGATCAAGGCAAACAGCTCAGCCCAAACATTTTCATCTTCAGTTTGGGCTGGTGGAGGGGAAAACATAATAACTACAATCAAGATGAGCTTCCAAAACTGAGCGTCTCATCTGTAGGCGAGAAAATGAATTTCCCATTACACTTCACACCTTACACAGTGTTTAACTCAGAATGCATCATGGATATAAGCATAAAGTTATGAAACCTGTGATTAAAAAAAATCTATGAAAAAGCTTTCAAGACCTACGGCTAGACAAAGAGTTTTTAGATTTGTCACCAAAAGTAGGGTTTAGCCAGGTGTGGTGATGTTTCCAGAATCCTAGTATTTGGGACAGGAGATCACTTGTGAGTCCAGGAGTTCATAGCCATCCTGGGGGATAAAGAAAGACCCCATTTCAAAAAAAAAGAAAGACCCCATTTCAAAGAAAAAATTCATAAAGAGAAAAATTGACAAATTGGACTTCATCAAATTCAAAACTTTTTGTTCTATGAAGGACCCACTAGGTGGATAAAAACACAAGCTATAAACGGGGAGAGAAATATTTGCCACTATCTACTTGACAGAGGACCAATATCTCAACTGCATAAAGAGTTCTCAAAATCTAACAGCAAAAGCCTAGCTTCTGTTGTGGACTGCAGATGGGCAGTGCCCACTAAGCAAGCTCCGCCAGAGAAGGATGCCAGTGGCAGTGGACACTTCCCGCCCACCTGTGACACCTCCACACATGTGCTTTCAATGCCACAGTCACTTCAGTTGCCTCATATGGCCATTGCTAGGAGCAAAAATGGAGCACTATGCCGTTGTCCACTCGGTCAGGCCATGAGAACTCGGCAGTCCCGGCTACTCATTACTCAGCCAGCCTGCAAGGGTGGGAAGCTTAGGGATGCAAAAGACTGGGCCGTGGGAACCACTGCTCCCCAGGAGCCCAGGGCCAGCCAGAGACCAAGTGTGAGTCACTGACATTGGTTAGGTGCTATGGTCTGAACCTTGGTGCCTTCCCAGAAGTCACCTCATTGCGAGGAGCAAGGAGATGCAGCCCGGGAGGCAACTGCCCAGGAGCGAGGGCCTCTCATGACTGGGCAACTGCCCAGGAGTGAGGGCCTCTCATGACTGGGATTAGCGCACTTGTAAAAGAGGCCCAGAGACCTGCCTGGCTCCTTCTGCCGCACGATGACACAGCCAGAGAGTTGGAGAGCAGCCCTTGCAAGACACTGAGGCTGTGAGCAGCTTCATCTTGAAACTCTGGTTTCCTGTTCTGCTGTTTATGAGCCTCACAGCCTAGGGACTGCTGCAGCTGTGGAACAAACATACAAGAGCTGCAGGACAATACAGAGGCAAGAAAGAGCTGCCTACCTGGCATGCAGGGAAGGGGCATAACTACAGGCCCAGAGGGACCTGGCCAGGCCCCCAGTGTAACCATGAAAGTGGCGCCACTGCTTAACAGGACCCTGGCCAACCACAGCATCCCGGAGAAGACAGCCCGGGGGAGAAGAACCTGGAAGGCTTTCTTGGAGCAGGAGACAGAGGAGCTGGGAGATTTCCCCCTGAGCAGACCTTGGTATGAGGAGGACATCGCACCCTGACCCCTCTGGAACCCACTGCTGTCAGGAGATGACCTTGGCACATGCTGCCTGGTCCTTAAAATCTTCCAGGGTGGTTTTAAGCAAAAAGAAATCCCCATGTCCAGTCCCCATTGGAGGAGATTCTCATTTAGCCAGATTGCAAGAGATGGGACATTGGGATTTCTGTTTTTCAGCTCTCCATTGGATTAAGCAAAAAGCTTTCCCAAATGGAGTGGGCCAGTCTACCTCCAGGAGAACTGAGTGTCTGAGCAAGGGAGGTGGCACCCTTGGGCCCCACCTTCCCAAGCAGGTGGGAGCACAAAGGGCCCAGTCAGCCACATCGAGAGGCAAGGAGCTAGAAGGTGACTTCAGTGTCCAAAGGGGAACATGTATGTGACAGTCACATGGAAACCCGGGACCTAGGAGCCCCCTGCTAAGAGCCAACACCAGCAGACCTCAGGAACAGAGCTCTGGTGTGGCAAAATGGGGACCCCAGGGTACCTCAGAGAGCACCCTCAGGAGGTCCAAGGGCCCTTGGGCAGCCTGGGTGGCAGAGCTGGAGGACGAAGCTCCATAATGCTGCCCCCTGGTGGATCCTCCTGTCCTGAGCACTCAGGAAAGATTTTCAGGTCAACAGGTGGCTGGAGGCACAGTAGCTGCCAAATCCAGACAAGCTCAGAAAGCCAGGAATCCAGCCAGGCCAGCTCAAGGGATACAGATCAAAGCCAAAGACCATGTTATGCCTTTTTGCAGGGCAAAATGCCTAAGTCTTTGCCTCTGGGCTACGATATCCCAAACAGAGGTGGTTTGGTTTTTTCCTTCCTTTGATTTTGCATTTTAGAGGACAGTGCGATGGTGCCCCTCGTGCAGTGGATAAGCATTTTTCACACAACATGCAGCACGCCTCTGGATTGCACAAGGCAACAGGAGAAGTCGAGGCTGGGTGGAAGAGCTGGCTGCTGTCTACGCAGAGCGGCCCCCACCGCTGCAGGGCTCTGTGGGTTGAAGGCGGCAGCGGCTCTGTGTGCAGGGTCCATACAAGGGCTCCTAGGCTTGCTGGGTGGCCACACAGGCCCATCCAGGAAGCAGGGTTCAGACAAAGCTGAGGGTCTGCAGGGCTCAGGGCAGAAGCCTGGCTGCCTGGGCTGGAGTGGAAAGCCCTCAGGACTGGGGTCCACAGGCCAGCTCTGCAGGCGCCGGTAGGTGCCTGAGACCCTGTCTCCATTCCCCTCCCAACTGGCCAGTGCACCTGCACTTCCCCATCAGACGCAGAGCACTCTGTGCCTTGGGGCGCCTGTCTGCAGAGGTCCCTCAGAGCTGTCAGGACAGCCTCCAGCCACACAGGGAAGAAGTTTCCATCAGAAAGGACAAGTGTGCAATCCCAGCACTCTGGGAGGCTGCAGCAGGAGGATTGGAAATTCAAATGCAGCCCAGGAAATCTAGTGACTTAAGAACTTATCTCCAAGTAAAAATGGCTAGCAATTTAACTCCATGTGAAGACCCAAGGTTTCCCCTAGTGCCACAAAGGAGTTCTGTCGACATGCTCAGCCCATGTATATGACCCCATCCCAGTAAAAGATTCCTAAAAGGAGAAAAAGACTTCAGAATGAAGATGGCAGTGTCAAACTTCCTCACGCAATCTTTCTCCCCAGCCATGGTCAAAATGGGCATCGTACTGTCAGCCGGCAAACCCCAAGACGTTACCAAAATCAGAAATCTAATTAAAAAGGCAGAAACTTTCCATGGCTCTTTCCCCTCTAGCTAAAAAGTATCCTTGCTGTGGATTAGTATGCAGCCATAAAGGAGAATGGTATCATGTCATCTTCAGGAAATCAGGCAGAGCTGGATTGCGTCGTACTAAGGGACACAAGCCAGATAAGTGTCTGCATCCTCCCTGGTACAAGAAATGGTCAATGATGATGTGAACACAGGAGGGAGACTCTTATCAGACAAAAAGGAGGAGAAGGGGGGGGTTGATATGATTGAAATATATGCACTGAAACACAATATTTTATAAAATTAATGGGCTCTAATAGAAATACACATTTTTTAAAAAACAAGATCTAGTGTAATGAACACACATATCATTGGCTCCTGGAGAGTGGCGCCCTGAGAAGGCCCAGCCTTTGCCATTCTAAATTATCAGAATGAGACATTTCCAGAACTGGCCTGGCAGCACTTTTTCCCTCGGGAACCTGGCAGGTGTTATGGAAATGATGTTGTATGAGCAGACTTCGGAACCTATGTTTACCTACATGCTGAGCAGCTGTTGGTTCTGCACAGAATGGGTGCAGTGCCAGATGAGGTCCTCGAGGGCTGGGCCACCAGGGGTCCCATGGATGGAAAGCCCCATGAATGGCCAGCAGTGTGCACAAGGACACGGTGCCCAGGAAAGGGACTCGAGTCAGTGGGAAGACAGCACAGGGCTCCTGTCCCCCTCCACCCCTGTTCTGACCACAGTGGTCCCCCAGGCTCAGCTCTCCCCAACACAGGGCTCCAGGTCCTGCCAAGGCCTCGCTCTTTCCCTGCCTCCTCGCTGTCTCTCTGTCTCTGCCATCTGTCTCCCTCTCCCCACCCCACACCTCCCTTGGGTCTGCTTGGGACACCCAGCAGAGTGGGCCACCCAGCTGTGACTTCACACCCACTCTCCCCTCTGCTGGGAACATGGCCACCACGGGCTGCTCCTCATCCCCACCTGGAGGGGATCCCAGCAGCCAGTATGGGGCATTCCAAGCATCAGAAAATGCCAATAGGAGGTCAGCATGTTGGCTAGAAAGTGATAAAGATCCGTGAGTCTATAGTGAGTCCTGGAGAGGTGGAAAACAAAGAGGAGACAATGGGGACCAAGGGGAGAGGAGATCGAGGGGAAGGGAGTAAATAGTACCTCTAGGAAGGCTGGTTAGGGTTCGTCTGAATTCCCCTTCTCTCCATGAATCACTTACTTCCTCCACGATGTGACCTTTCCGCCACTCTTCATGCACTTCCTGTGGGGTTTTCTCACAGGACTGGGTCTTGCTGTAGTGAGAGCAGGACCAGTCACTAAGCCCCAGAGGGGCAGGGGCTTCCCAGCACTTGAGGCCTGGTAAACCCTGGCTGGAGGGGTCCTAGAACTCAAAGACGCTCCCAGGGTGGAGCTTAATGGGGTCCAGGCCACTGAGCACAGGTGGGGTCCATCGGGGTACAGGGAGGCACAGCCAGAAAGGCCAGCTGGCCACTGACCATGCCCTGGGGGAGGTGACTGATGAGAGAGGCCCTGGGAGTCCTGGGGGAAGGGGGCCCAAGCCACACTGCAACTTAACCAGCAGCACTGCACTTGTTTCTGAGATAGCTGATAGCCAGCAGCACCAGGCCAGATTGGTTCGCATAGGAGGCAGCGTTGCCCATGACAGCTGGCCAGGGCAGCCCTGGACCGGGCAGGCAGGTGGAGCTGGAGGTTCCTCCTCAGTGCTGCCATGGCATCTTTCTAGCTGCCAGGCTGTGCGGTGGGCAGTCCCAGCCGCCCTGGGACTCTGGCCCTGGGGTGCACTACTAGATGGTTCCTAGGAGCCTCTTCCTGCCCCAGCATGTATTAGGAGACACCTGCACCTCACGGCAAGGAGGTCACAAACACGGGTGTGAGTCAAGAGAGAAGCCGGGAAGTGTGCAGGAGACGCTGCCAAGGCAGGAGGACTTCACATGGGAGCCCAGCCTGGGCACCTTCGCCACTGGGCAAGACCCTGCCTTTACCTTTTAAAAAACATCTCTTTTTCTAAGGGCTGGAGATGCAGCTCAGTACCGAGGGCCTCAGTGTATCACCAGCACTGAAAAGTGGTGGCTTTTTGCAAAAATGAGTGACACTCAACATACACAGTGCTGTGCCCTCTGGATTCTCTCCCAGATGCCAAAGCAAAGACCCAGGCTCAGAGCAGGCAATAATGGGAAGATCGAGTGATTTTCTTTTTGCAGCAGTGCTGGGGACTGAACTCCAACACAAAGCAGGCACTTGGCCGCTGAGCTATACCTGCAGCCTTGGAGTAATTTGTTTTTAATTGGGATGAATTTCACACAACAAAAAACATTCTCAAGGGGACCGTTCAGCAGCACTGGCTTCATCCACACAGTGGTGCAAACATCTTGGTCTGGGCTGAGCCATCCGTGTCACCTCCAGAGAGGATCCTATCCCCGTTTAGGACTTGCTTCCACTTCCCCTCCCCCCCTCTTCCTACCTACCCCCACGGAGTCCCTGGCAGCCTCTGCCTGCTTTCTAGCCCAGTTGATTTGCCTGTACTCAGGGTCTCCTGCAAGTGAGATCCCATATCAGGTGGTGGTAGTGTCTGGCTTTTCTCCCTCAGCTTCCAAGATGCCTCCTTGTCACCGTGTGAGTCCGAGGTAATGAACAGCCCATTTTATGTATCCATGTGTCCATGGCTTGAACGTATGCATCTTATGCTCTGGTTTTGTCCACAAATGTTTGTTAAACACGGTTTATACACAGGCAGAGGGGCTGGCTTCCAGGCTGATGACCCTTGTACTCTCAGCCCTGGCCCATGGTGGGAGGTGTGGGCAGCCCAGCCATCCCACAGTGGGGAGAGCTGCCATAGGAGAGGTAGCTGTCTGAGCTTCACGGCTGGAGCAGATGGACGTGGAAAGCAGGGCTGGAGGGCACCTGGCGGGGGCTTGCAGTGGAGCCGTCCCTGTGCAAGTATAGGTGAGGTGCCATCTTGGTTCCTACCAATGTGACCAGGCTCTCTGTGCTGTGGTCCAGGGCCCCGGAGTGAGCAAGACCCCGTTCCACAAGGAAACTGGGCCCTTGGCATCACACTGTGCTTCAGAACTGGTTCCCGAGCTCAGTGAGGGGACAGGAGAGCAAGAGGAAAGCACATTGCCATATGTGTGCAAGTCTGGAACTGGCATGTGACACAGCAAGACACAGGACGGGGAGCAGGTCCAAGCAGAGTTCAGGGGACCTGGTGACAGGGCAGACAGGAGTCAAGCTGGAAACTCATTCTCTTCAGCTGAGAAGGAGCCAGATCAAGAGAAGACGGAGCCAAACCTGAGCTGTGTCCACAAGGAAGTCACTGAGGGCCGAGAGCAGTAAGGGCAGGGGCCATCTCATAACGGGGTGGTGGGCACGGCCCTGCCTGCTGCCCCAGTCAGTGGATAGGGTGGAAGCCTGGACAGGGTCGTGACACCAACCACTGTCCTGGCAGTTCCAGCGTGTGTGTCTTTTGTGTGACCTTGGCAGACAAACTATTCCTGTAATTAACCAAAACATTGTTCTCGCCAAACAGGAAGAAGATGAGGAGTGGAAAATGTCACCAAGCGTTTTCCTTCAGTCACTGCAGGAAGGAAATAACTTATACAAAGGTCAGTCCAGGGAGCACCCAAAGTAACCAAGGCGTCACTCTGTCCATTGAGCATCACTCTGCCCCTAAGGTCCAAGGATCTGGAGGGAGGACCCAGGAGCGCGCTCAAGAGAAGCCACAGGCCTGTGCTTCACAGCGGACTCTGTGTCTCTGATTCCTGATTCCTGGGGTGGCTGAGAGCCGTACGATTAGTAAAAGAGCAAGATGTGTACAGGATGGGAACGTACTGGAAACTTCTATCCTGTTTTTTGAACGCCTAAGATTTCAGTTGACCATTCACTTGCTCAGTGACAGGGAGGAGATATATTTCCTAGGCTGTTTACACAACGAAATTTGGATATCATAGGCATGGGAGAGTGCCTTCATCCTGTTAGACTAAGACCTGTGCCTGAATTCCAACACTTGATTCTCTCATCCAGTGTTGAGCATGATTACCACAGCCATCGTCCGGCCAGACCTGTGAGCCTCTGAGCTGGTCTTTCAGACAGTTCCATTATACTTTGAACTCCTCCACATCCGCCCCACCCTCTGGACAAATCCCAGCACAGAAGGAGCTATCGGCATGACCCTGGTCATTAGCACTGTGGTGGAGATTCCTGAAAATGGCAGTAAGGACCTGAAAAAAGCATTGCCCACATCAGCCCATGACGCCCCTGCCCTTCCCAGTCAGGTCTGACAGCACTGGTACTGCTACTGAATTTCAGCACGCTCAGCTGCCACCTAATAAGTGAAGCCTCGACCCAAGCAACATCCAAATAGGCATAGACTTGCTGTGTTAATTATGAAAGAGAAGAATGTCTGGGTGCAAACCTGAGTTGTCTCATAGACCGCTGGTGGCAACGCAGTGCAGGAGGTGCTAAACTGAGGCACGGCCCAGAGAGAACTGTGACATGGGCGGGGTTGGGCCTCTCCTGTCAAGGCAGGCGTCCCAGGGGATCAGCTGATATTTATTAAGTGCCCATAACAGGCAAGACCAGCTGTTTCCGCTGTCCATCCCTTTTAAGCTTCATATCCACCAGGAAAGGCACACGGCTCCCCCTGTATGTACAAATAGAAGCCCCATTGTCTCCAAACTCAAGATTCACAAAACATCCGCTTGTATATTCACTCATCAAACATAGACTGAGTGTCACCAAAGTACCCCAGCAGCACTGTTCTAGAGATCCAAGGTGAAAGCTGCTGTCAGCATGCTCGCTCACATTGTGCTAGGTTTTGCACAGTTGTATAAATCCGGGCAACAGCAAAGACATCTACGAGTCCAGCTAGGAATCATAGCAGTCCAGCCTGGGGCTCCTCCACACAGGAGCACATAGGACAGTGCTTGGCGCTTTGTCCTCTCTGGCCCTCACAGCCACCTCCCCTACTCTGCTCTCTGCTCTGGGTCTCCCACCAGCATGCAGATGAGCTGCGTTCCTCACCATCTGCTCTCCACAGCGGCACCCTCCAGCCTCTCTAGCTTTCTTGTCACTCCCACTTCCTCAGAGCCCGTCCTCATGGAGGTCCTGAGAAGGGACAGCCTCCTCGCCTCCTTGGGGGTGTCAGGTGTCCCGTTCAGAGCCAGGCTGCCCACAGGACGGGGGAGGAAGTGAGGAGCCCTGAAGTCTCCTCTGTGTTCCACAGCTCACATCACCTCCTGAGCTGCACTTCCTGTCAGACCAGCGGGACTCTGGGTTCTCATAAGACTACAAACCCCGCTGTGAACCCCGCTGTGAACCCCGCACACCAGGAATCTAGGTCGTGCTCCTTTGAATCAGCCCCAAACCAAGTGCCCCTACCCTAACCATGGAAAAGATGTCTTCTATGAAGCTGTCCCTGATGCCAAAAAGGTTGGGAACTGCTAGGTCTATCCTCAGACTCGGGGTGCAGAAGGCCTGGCTCCTCCCAACTGATAGAGCTCTGGAGAAAACAGGAGGAAGGTTAGTGGGAGCGAAGTCCTTTCCCACTAGGATACAGCTCAGCTGCACAGGAGTCTGCCTGGCAAGTGTAAAGTCCTGAATTTGATTCCTGGTACCAAAAACAAAAAACAAAACTCCTCTCCCATCATTGGACGTCAGGGGCTCAGTCTAAAGCTGATAAATCAAGAAGGGGCACAGAAGCCCATGTGCAGAGCTTAGGAGAAGCCAGCACCAGCTGAGGGAGCCTGGCGAGGCTGGACAAACTAAACCAATACACCCCTGCTGGGCACCATGTCCTTCCTGTACCAAGCCTAGCACCATGCGTTGCCCAGGACACTGTCCCTGCAGGCCTGGGAGCCAATGTGGAATGGCATTGTCCACCTCCCAGGCCACCTGCCCAGCCATGTGCACATTGCATTGCGTGACTCTGGGTGGAGGCCTTGCGCTGTGGCCTTTTAGAGGGCCTAGTCCCCTCTGAGGGCTGAGCCTTCTTCCAGTGACTCGAGAGTCAGGATATAAGAGCCGAGTGTGTCCCTGGCTTCTGTAGTGAGTGCACAGACACGAGGAGGAATGCCTTCCAGAAGGGCCACAGGGAGAGTTTTTTCCTATCCTTTTACCACTCCGTGCTTGCTGCAGACAACATGTGCGCATTACTTTGACAAACAGTAAAAATGTGGAGAAAAATCGGACCTTCCTATGGGGAAGGCAGCTCCCCACAGCCTGCTAGCCCCCCTGGGAAGATTCTCTTTAGAAGAACGTCCTTTCCCTGAGTGCTGAGGAAGGCTCCCCCAGCTGGATGCCAGGACTTTGGAGGTGCCAAGTCTTCCTTACCTTAGAGAAACCAGATCTCTTCTTTTGGAAAGTCTTTTCTTTCAGAGCAAGGGTTTCCCTTTCCAAATGGGACATTAGCATTTTAATCGCTGAGATTAACCCTGGGCCCCTCCCGCGCCAGCTCCTCAACGTGTGAACCAGCCGGCCTGCTTTTCACATTCTTGAGATAAAAGCGCCTTCTCTCTTCAGGAGTAAGGGGGCACTTGCTGCCCTTTGAGGGTCGGGAACAGCTTCCTGTATGTATAAATGCCCATGAAATTCTTCAAGGGATTGGAAGTGGCCTGTGCAGAAGTGTCATGAGAAAAGCTAGTCCGGCGGCGAACTGGATCCATTGAAACTGGCCCGAGGCGGAATCCAGCAAAGTGGCCTCGAAGCACTTTCTTTCACCAGGAACCTGCAACTGCAGCTTGGGAAGGCGCCCTGGGACAGGGTTTTTTCCATCCGTAATCGTGTCGCGGTTTCCTTGCTGTGAAGTAGCTGCACTCCTTTTAGTGCAACCAGGTTGGTCCCCGTTTTAGGGAAAGCTACACCATGAAAGAGAAAAGTAGCTCCCTGTACATAACAGAGCTCCCTGGCTCCAAGCCCCTTCATGGAACTGGTACGTGCCGCTGCTGTCCCTTGAGAAGTTCTGTGCAGGGGAGACCTGCTGAGAAGGATAGCGCATCATAACACATTAAAGCCTTGTCTGCTGTTTTCAAGGGGAACACCTTACCACTTTGAGAACAAAAGAAGACCTATCAGTTATTCCCAGGTATTAACGTGACCTGCGGTTTAAATCCTGGTTCACGTCTTTAGTTGCACTGTGCTGGCTGCCTTGATGTCCTGAATAGATTGAGAACATTGTGACTTCATGGTCATTTTGACTTTGGGGAAGAGCCGGAAGTCGCAGAGTGCCAGATGCCGTGAACAAGGCCAAGGAGGACCTCATCAGGTTTTTATGAGCCTGTCTTTCCGCTGGGTGACATTTGCAGCGATTTTCACCATATTTTTGATCACACCTCAGATGTTGGGGCATCTGAGCGTCCCAGAACTGTTTCAGACAGTGGCAATGGGATGAAAGTGTTTGAAGGGAGAGAGGAAATGTGGGTAGGAGTTCCTAGCAACATGCCTTTTACTATAATTTTTTTTAAAATTTTAACACTCACTGTGTATTTTGCTCACACAACATAGATTCAGGAAGAGTTCATTTTCCGAATGTCAAGGCACCCCTTCGCTCAGGAGGACCCCCAAGTCCCACCTCAGACCAGCCCCCCACACCCCCACATACATTTTGAGTTTCCCTTCTAAAAAATGAGCTCTATTTCAACTTAATTGAATGATACAAACTTCTCCTAATTACTCTCAGGTCATGTTTCTGTAGTTCCAAACTCAACCAATAGGGTAAGACAAAAGGGAAACTTAAAAAACGTGATTGCAAAAATATTCCAGCAGAAATTCAAAAATAACATCATCGAATTGGGGGACAGTACTGGATTTCTGTGTGCATGACAGGGGCCAGGGTAAATTGCTGATGATGTTCAACAGCTAACAAAATCTCTCACTGAATCATATGCACAAAAAAAGTAATAAATATATTGCAAAATACAGACTAATAGTTGTATAATTCCACCGTCAACATACTGCTTCCCCATGGTTATAATTGAAGAGCAGGATGCTGATCACATCACACTTTTTTCCCAGGTGTTTTCACTTTGGCGGTTGCTTCTTTTTTACCAGCTAGCACTCAGCTGTACCTGTAAACCCCAACACTCTCCAGCTCTCTGTATTGAGCTTTCATTCCGTGCTTTAGGACAAGAAGATTAGACATGCGCTTAGGTCACGGGAACTGTCTTCGTGAACTTCCAGGTTTAATTATTTACCGTTTTCTTTATCCTTCTGAAACACAGACATGTGGATGAATAAAGATGAATCCTGGAATTTCCTTCAGGATTATGATCCAGAGCTGATCAGACAGGAGAAGCGGAAGGAACTGGAGACAGAGATAAGAGTGCAGGTACCGTACAGTGTGCTGTGGGGGGAACAAGTCCCTGACTTCAGTGCTGCTTCTCTTTCCTTCTCGCCTACGGATGACCTGCCCCAGAATTTCAATGATCTTCCAGGTTGTCCAAGAAAATCCCAGGCATAAGTCCTAAAGCTCATGTGTTTAAAGTCATATGTTTTGTTTCCACCTAGGTTGACGAGTTGATGAGACAGGAACTAAAAAACTTAAAACTAGCTGTGAACAAAGAAAAGGAACTTCCAGTCAGAGAAGGAAGGAAGAGAGAGAAGGTGAGGCACGAATGAGAGGAGGTGGGAGACTTAGTAATGGAAAGGAGCCCCTTCCCCGAGCACAGCAGGTCCACAGAGGCCACCTGCAAGGCCACCTGGCTGTCCCTGGGATGCCTCGCAGGAAAGCACACCTGCCCTGGTCCATGCAGTTGGTTCACCACTTGGCCTGCAGGGCTGTGGGCTCATAGTGGGCTGAGCCCAGCCCCCCTCGGCTGACCTCCCCGCCCCCACTCAGCTGCAGATTCACGGCACCCCAGGCCCCAGAGCAGGTGGAGCACTGTCCTCAACGTCCCTTATCTCTCCTGAGGGTCGCTCTGTAGAGGAAGCCAAGAGCAATGAGCAGGTTTGTGAGTGGGGGAATCACAGCAAAAGGAGCTGGATAAATCCAGTTCTGAGTTGTCCCAACCCATTTGCAGCTGTACAGAGTAGCCAGCTGCATCCAGGCATTCCGATTCACTCAGTGCCCCTTACCTCACCTTCCTCCCAGCGACAGCCCTGCCATCAGGGCCAGAATGCTCAGAGAAGACAGCCAGGACCCTCGTGCTGGCGGCACTGGTGTGAGGGGGCATTCTGTGCTCCTATAGGGCTTTATCCAAGTCCTATGTCTGGGCCACTCTTCCTGGGACTCTTATGTCACCCCTTTACAGTTCTTCACATGTTCGGCTGCACCCAGGACTGGTTTGGCCAGCTTGGGGCCACATGGTTTTAGCTGACGGTCCTCATCTGTGGTAGGTGGCTCCTAGTGTAGAATTCTGAAGTCGACTAAGTACCCAGCAACCCTGTTCTGACGTGTGTCACTGATGTCCCTCCCTCTCCTGATGTTATGTCCCCTTCCTGGGGCATCTGGTAATGCCACCCTGGCCTCCATGCATGTGAACTTTTTCTGCAAAACAAAGCTACATCTTGGTGACCAAGCGTGAAGACTGAGCTATACAAAATGGGAAATGTAAGTAGCTACCGCTTTGTGGCTGAAAACAGGCTTGTCTTCACTAGCAAAGCCAGCATCAGCCCTGCCCAGGTCTAAGCAGGCTTCCCTGTCCTCGTTCAGCCTGCATCTGCCGTCTTCACGTCACAGGGCGCACCAATGGATTGCGGCTATGTGATTGCGCTATAGCATCTCATGCACCCAACTCTCCAGCCCAGGTTACCCAGGTCAACTTTGCAAGAGAAGACTGAAGTAGGATGCAATCCCATGGACTGAAGCTTCACTGCCTATGCAGAAAGACCACGGGGGAATGAATGCAGGAAGGAGAGAGGGAAGCAATGTGGCAGAAAGTGTCACCCAGCACCTTCCAGAGAAGAGGGCTCAGCCGTGACCCAGAGAAGTCTTTTCCAAACACTAATCTGAGTCTGCCTCTCCCCAATTCAACTCTGCCCTGGTGCCCCAGTCTCCCAGGAATCAAGATTACATTCTCCAGTCAACTGCAGGGACCAGTCCACCTGACTGCCGCCTTTCCTCCTGCCCGCAGTCTTCCACTGACTGCGTCCCCCAGATGCACTGTGCCCCTGCTGACCCCAGAATTTGCCTATGCTGTTCTCTCCCACCTCTACACTCCTGTCTCCAAACTCAGGCCTAGGTAACTCTCTCTCATCTCACAGGACTCAGCTCAAGCCTCCTTCCTCAGTGAGGCCTTCAGAGCCCCCAGCATGGGTCTCGTTTCTCTGTACACAGATGGTCCCGTGCATCATGTCTTCCTCATATTTCATCACAAGGTGAATTCTACAAAGCATATAGAGAAAAATTAACACCAATCCTTCTCAACTTCTGAAGAAGAGGAGGAGGAAGAGGGGAGTTGGGGAGGGGGAGAGCCCAGCAGCACTGTGAAAACAAAGCCAGATAAAAATACTACAACAAAAGAAAACTATTTACCTAATGCTGACACCCCCAGTGAATATGGATAGCCATATCCTCAACAAAAGGCTTTAGCTGATGGTCCTCATCTGTGGTATGTGTCCAACCTGAGCTCGGCAGAACATAAAAGGTTGTATGTTATGAGCTGGGATGCAAGGATGGTTCATTATACGTCAATTGATGTGATACCACATCAACATCATACACAATCACATACAACAACATACAACATCATACACAATCACATATAACAACAGAATGAAAGACAGAAACCTGTATTATCACTATGATAGATCGCATTGATAGTCTATGTCATTTCAGCAGGTGCTGAAAAAACATTTGACAAAATTCACCATTCCGGTTAAAAAATCAACACATTAGGCATAGAAGAAATTTATCTCAGCATAGCTATGATAATCAAGACTGTGCTATTGCTATAGGGAAGGAGGAGAGGCAGAAATGGAATATATATGACAGAGAACTCAGATATGGACCCACACAAATACGTGTGACTGATTTTTAGTAAAGGTGCAAACGCATTTCAGTGAAGAAAGATACTTTTTTGAATACACTGGGTTGGCATAATTGAACAACCACAAGGGGAAAAAAGGACATTGACGTAAGTCTCATGCATTACACAAAAATTAATTCAAAATTGGCCACCCCTTTAAATATACAGTGTAAAATTAGAAATTTCTCAGGCAAAAACATAAAAACATATTTGCAATCTAAGGCCGAACCAAGAGCTCTTAGAATTAATACAAGAAGCACAGTTTATAAAAGAAAATATTGGATTTCATCCGAATTAAAAGACCTGCTAAAGATGAAAGGCAGGTGCAGACTGGGAGGGAACACTGGCGAGCATCGTATCTGACAAAGCTTGTACTCGGAATGGGTCTGTCGTCAAATATTTAAAACACTGGCGAGATTGTGGGCAAAACAAAATGTCTACGCTGCTGGTGGGAATGCAAACTAATACAACCACTCAAAAAACTAAAATTAGAAGTTCTACTTACCCACTTATACCTCTCAGGGTTTGTTCCCCTCAAGAGTTAAAGATGTCGGACTCTAGTGACGTGTGATACCGTGATTACAGCAGTGTTAGTCTCTGGAAGCAGCCTAGATGCCCATTACAGATCGAAAGTATAGAATATATACACCATAGAATTTTATTGAGCCATAAAAAGCAATAAATCTGGCTCATTTGTAGGAAAATGGATGAATCTTGAGACAGTCATGTTGAATGGTCAGAAACAGCATATTAAATATCATGTAGTTTCTTTCAATGAGAAACTCAATTATAAATAAAATCAAAATAAAGGATACAAGAGGCTAAATTCCTTCACACGGTATTGGTGGGAATGCAGCATGGTATGGTCACACTGCCAAACAAGTTTTTTATTAAAAAGAATAAGCATGAAACAGTCATACAACCCAGGCATCGAACTCAGGGGCATTTTCTGTGGTGATTTCTTCACATCTTCTGTCACCTTTGCATAATTTTGAATATAAAATCAATTTTCTCAGACCAGAAGCAGGGCTTAGCAGCCACCCTTGACCCTAAGGCAGAAGGTGATGTAGATAAAGTAGATTAGAGACCAGGCGATAAAACTTAACATGGTAGAATTTCAGCCTCTTCCTGTGGATCATGAGGTGTGATGGATGGGTTTTTAGTAGAACTATAAAGCAGTCCACACTGTTTAAAAGGTGGCATTCAGAAAACATTCCACCAGACTGTCACAAGCGTCTAAATGTAGAGTCCCTTAGAACTGGAGGTGGACAGGTGCCTGGCCCTGAGGACTCCAGATTTGGGGCCAGATGCTAACCGAGAGAATCATCTGGGCTCTGCCATAATCATTTTGTGCTGCTGTACAAAATATCGTAGACTGGGTAATTTATAAACAACAGGAAGACACTGCACACACTGGGAGGTCCCAGACAAGGACCCACCCGAGGCAGCATCTGCTTGCAGCTCCCTCTGCTTCCACTCTCTTTCCATGGGAAAGATGGAGCAAGCTCTTCCTGTCCTCTGTTGGAAGCACCCTAACCCATGCATGCAACCCGCACCCTGGTGACCTCACCACCCTCAGATACTTACCTCTTCACAACCTCCCTTTGGGAGTCAGGAGTGAGCATCTGAATCATGGGGCTCAAACTTTAGACTACAGTGGGTGTCAGAGATGACCAGCCTCGTTCACTTGTGCCAGAGCCCAGGAAAAGGAATGGGATGCCCAGGGCCTGTTGGGAATCCAGCCCCAGGCAGGCTCACCCACAGCGACCTCTCCTCTGTCCCCACAGGCCACGGCCATGGAAGCAAAACACAGCCCAAGTTCAGGGTCATGTAGTTCACTTTCCCACCTCCCAACCCAAGAGATAGTTTGCTTAGCTGACTTTAGGGACGGTTCATTCGCTTGTTTTTACTAAAGTGTTACTGTTTCCATTTTCTTTCTGCCAAAGAAAGGGAAAAAAGGCAAAAGAGGGAAAAGAGGGAAGAAGGACAAAGATCTGACTGATGACAGGTAAGGACTGGGTGCCCCCTGTGGGGGGGGCGGGAAACAGAAGCAGGGGAAGTGGCAGGAAACCACCTGACTCTGTGCCTCAGCTCCCCGCCAGTGCAATGGGGAGGGAAACAGACCTGGGACAAGCCTCTGTGCCCATCACCGCTGAGTTCCTGGAACTTGACATAAGCTTTAGAAATCACACAGGAGCAGGAGGGGGCTGTGATCCTGGAAAATTGCATAGGAAATAACACCCTGATGGAACTCTGAAGCAGGACTGAGGCTCCAGTCCTGTGGGGCAGACGCCAGCCCTGCACACCGCAGAGCTGCGCCCCTGTTGAGAGAGTGGGGGCACCGCACAAGGAGAGCCCCCTACAGAATCTTCCATCCCTTGAGTTTCCTGATTTCCATATGCAACATTCAGTGCTCATTTCTTGTGCTGTGACACTGAACGTGAACAGCAGCCAGGCCTAGTGGCATGTGCTTGTTTGTAATCCCAGCACCCTGGGAGGCTGAGGCAGGAGGATGGTAAGCTCTAGGTTGGGTAATTTACTGTCTTAGTGAGATCCTGTCTTGAAATTTGAATTAAAAAGAGAAGAAAGAGGCTAGGCATGTGACTCCATGTGAGGGTTCTGATTTCAGTCCCCACGACTGCCAGAAATAAATAGCACTGCATTTTCAAACATCATCAAGGAGTTGAGCTAAAGTCCCTAATAAAGGGACAGCAGGAGTTTCCTGCCTTGGGCTCTGCTCTCGGGTGGACATGTGTGGCTCCTGTTTCCAGTCCACTCTGGTTCTTCTCTTCCTGAACCATGCTAGAGTAAGGTCCATTGGCGAGGAGGCCACTTCGAGCTCTCTGGGAATGGAAGGAGAGCAGAGTGCCAAGGTCCCATTTGCAGACACCTCAGGGAGCCAGTGGGCAGCCTCGGGGACTGGGGGTGGTTCTGGGCTGAGGTTGCCATATTTGCGGACAGTTTCAGATTGAGACCCAGAGTCCCAATGCCCGGGGACAAGTATCTATCTGTCTATCTGCACATCAAGCCAGCTGGCTTCCAGGTCAGTTCCTGGGGATGAAGGTGGGTCACACTCACATCCCTAGGGGAGGATCAGGGCCTCACAACACGCCACAGATTTTCAAGGGCACTTTGTTCCTTTGCTGTCTCATCTGTTCCAAAAGATGGATGCAGTGATGACAGAGCTGACAGCACAAGGAACACCGAGCAGCCTCTGAGTTACACGATTCCTTCCCCTCTCCTGCCCTGGCAGTGTGGCTCTGCTGAATAACAGGCTGCTGAACAGCACGGACCGCATACGTGGCTCAGAGGTGGTGGAGGTGGGACGTGACCGTCCTCCTGGCACGCACTCCCCTACTGAGCCGCGATCACAGAGGAGCCGCAGATGGTCCCCCTACGCCTGGGACACAGGGCCCTGTTGTGCTCATTTTTTTGCCCAGAAACACCTGGCATCTTGTTCCTGAAATGCTTTGTATTTCAATTTTAAAGACCCTGTGTCTGCACTCTGGCTAGCCCTGCCGTGGCACCACAAGATATCAATTTCTCTCACCAAAATAATCCCTGGCCCACAGTTTAGAGTGGAAGACCCTTTATTCCATTAAAAGAAAAAGTTTATTTCACTGGGAAAAATCCAAATAGAGGCTTGTGGTAGGTAGGGGCTCCCTAATACATTTTGTTCTGGTAATTTTAGGGACTTGTCTTCAATGTTAGGTGTGGTTACACCTGTGTCATGCATCTACATTAGAGAACTACTCAGGTTAGAGCACTCTAAATGATATTTCCTTGATCTAGAGCAGGTGCTGTTATCCCAGTGTTTTAGTTACTTTTCTTGTTGCTGAGACAAAATATCCAGCTCCTAAAGTTAAAGAGGAAAGGTTTACTTTGCTCACAGTTTGTAGAGGTTTCAGTCCATAGTTGGCTGGCTCCAAGGCAGGGTGGGTGGCAGACAGGCCTCAGGGGGAGAAATATTCATGGTAAGCAAAGCAACAAGGGTCCTTAACAGTATCTTTCTGCCCCTTTTATCCTCTCTCAAGGCTACTGTGATTAGGGCAGTGCCCAACCAATCAGTGGACTTAATTAGTAATCACCCATCCTTAGTCACAGCATGGCACCATCTAGATCCAGCCATCTCTTTAAAAACCCCACTATATCCACATGAGGCTCTGGAGGACATCTAGACACAAGCTGTAACACCCACATTCCACTACAATCAAGCCTTTCTTAATTTTCAGCAGTGAACATATTCTTTTAAAGACTGGGGTCACTGCGTTGGAATGTATCTCCATCAAAAATGCTTGTGTTTAACTGACATCCTTGGGTCTCTTTTAATCACACAAAACTGGATCACAGAACAGTGTGAAAACTGTTTAAGTGGAGCTACATTTACAATGCCCAACCTAAAGAAAGAATAGAAAAAATTTTAAAGACAAAACACCTCAAAAGATCCTGCTGTATAACATGTGAGCTGTCTTCATTTGAATCCCTGCAAGCCAAATTCCAGTCATGTCACTGGGGATCTCATCTTTAAGTGGGACACTATCTTTTTTTTTCATTTGGTCTAAATGATCAAGATGCTGGCTAGATGCCCAAGCCTCTCCCAGAGAAATGGTTTTGACTTTTACACACTGCAAAAAAGTAATCACCCTCCTAACACATCATCTCACACAGCCTTAGATGTTTTATCTTTCACATAAGAATTATCTCCAGTGTAAGCCTTCGTTCCTTTTAGATAATTCTTTTAAACTACTCTACCATTACATTAAAAGGAAACATAAATTTCACAAAGGATTAATGAACTCCTATGACTAGCACATGCTAACTGAATATATAATTATAGGCCGATTGTGTTACTATTAGTAGGTGATTTCTAATTTGTATTTGTGCCAGCCTGCAGACTTGCAGAGTTATTGCTACCCTCAGACACCCAGAGATATTATTCTTATTAATAGGAAATGTCCAGTATGCACATGGGTCAGTGAAAGTATGTTTTTTAAGGCCTAATTTATCCTCAAGTTGTAGAAACATTTCAAAAATCCAGTTGTTGGTGTCTCAGTCACTTTTCTCATTGCTGGGACCAATCACCCAGCACCCACAAATGAAAGGAGGGGAGGTTGATTTTAGCTCACGATGTATAGAGGTTTCTTCCTATAGCCCACTCACTGCCTTGGAGGCAGCACAGCTCTGCAGAGGAGCAGCTCGTGGTATGGAGAAAGGAAACAGAGTCAAGAGAAAAGCCTGGAGGGAAATGAACCCTTCAGGGCCACTGCCCCAGTGACCACCTCTTCCAGCCAGGCTCCACTTCCCAAGGTCACATTTACATATAAACTTGGTGGGTTAGTCCCCCGATGTTTATCACACCCCACAATCCTATGAACGAGCACAGGAGGCTTTGGAGGGACATCCGGGTCTCAACCGCCCCAATTTGCATACACACTCTCAAATCCACCTGTTTCAAGTCCTTGCATTAGTGATGATTGACAGACATACAGCTGATCTCCTGTGTAATGGAGTCTGATGCTCTGCTTTACCCACAGGACCGTCGAATCTCTGTACAAGGAGCTGGTGGAGGAAGGGCTGCTGATACAGTCCCTGAAGGTCAACCTCTCTGATTACATTGGTAAGGCACACCAAGGACAGTGTGTGTGTGTCACACTGCAGCCTGGTCCTGAGGTCCAGCCACTGGACAGACGAGGCCTGGCCCATGCTGTCTCCTGGCCAGTATTGGTGAGATTGAGATAACTTGCATCACTGAGAGGGTGCTGCTATGAACTAATGGGTTGTCTTCATAGTAGCGGTCCCCTTCTCTCCCCTTATGTGGTGGAAGCGGCTTTTCAACCTGCTAGCCATTTCCTTGATGCATTTGGTTTCTTGTTGCTGTTGCTGTCACTCTGTTTTGTTTTGTTTCTTCTGCTGCAGGGCACTGAACCCCAGACCTTCACACACACTGAGCTACATCCCCAGCCCTTTATAGTATTTTAGTTTTCAACTCTTGCTCAATTGTCCAGGCTGGGCTCAAACAAGTGAGCCTGCCATGCAGCCTGCCAGAGAGCGGTGCTCACAGGTGTGTGCCACCACGCAAGCCCCACAGCGCATGCCCTCTGCCCTGACCTAACTGGAGGAAATGAGGAATCGTTCATGGCAGCTCCACAACACATAACGCTTAAAGGAGTGATTCCTTCCAAAGAGACATTCCAGCAGGGGCAGAAGCAGCAGGAGGACAGAGAAAAGCCTTGTTATCTCAGGCTTCACTGATGTATTTCTGTTTATTTAAAGTAAAAGCAACATCATGACCTGGAAATGCACTTAAAGCATAAACTTTCTCAAAACTCTAGCCTGCTACTGCAGATATTATGTCCACTCTTATGAAGAAAATGTCTCCTAGGAGCAGACAGTTGCACTCAGGAAGTCTAATGTTAATTCAAACTCTCTCGCTGAATCCACAGCTAATACCTTTTCACCAGTGTCCTCCAAGACAGTCAGTCTTTCCCAGCCAAGATTCCCAGCAAGGATGTGTGTGTAGCTGCATCTCTTCCTTCTCCCTGATCCCTTTGCTTCTAGAACCCTTTCCCAGGTGTCTGCAAGCCCTCATAGCACTTCGTTGTGGAGGAATACAAGCCGACTGTCAGACTGTCCTCCATTGGGTTGCTTGGATTCCTCCTCTGATTCACAGTGAACATTTTTGATGGGTGACAGCACGTCCCTCTGTTCCCCTCAAGGGCACAGGGTACCACATGCTTACGTCATCAGTGACAGTGAACTGACAAGGCACAGGAGCCATCCGCAGGCACAGTTGCTTCGTCATTGAAGAATCATGGAGGAAGTGATACCATCCTCCACACAGACCTTTCCACTCCCACAGCTGACTTTATCACCAGGGTGGCAGGAAAACGGGGTTCCTTTTCCCCCGACTCCTTCAATGCAGAAGAGAGGGCATCATTCTCCTGTGAGGGAGCTTGGGGCCTCTTGAAACTGCTGATGCCAAAGTAGACACGTAGATCCTCTCTTGAGTTGACCCCTTACACCATCCTGACCCACTCTGAGGTTTCCACTGGCCCTGTGGGGTCTGTGAGAGCACAAAGCCGGCTGTGCCTTCACCCTAAGGTGACACTGGGACCCCTCACCAGAGCTCTGGTTCCATTGTGGGGGCCTAAAGGGGCCTTTACAGGTCTGCAGAGCAGCATCCTGCCAGGCTGCAAATGGGGCTGCTGGATATTTGTGCTTCTTATTTCACTTGTGTGGCAGTGTGCATAGTAAGCAAGTGTTCTGTCCCTAAACTGTACCCCAGGCCCTCGGTTTGTGTTTCTCATTCAAGTGCTGGAGAGTTTTCTCTTGCAGTCTCTTGATGCTGTTCTGTTAATTCTGTTAATATTTTTAAATCACTGTTTTTAACAAAGCCATCTCTTGCTTATGTGGTTTGAAGCTCTGAACAGAAGTGTCTGCTGCTTAGTACAGGGCCTGAGGTGGATTCTCAGTAACTCTGTGTGGACCAGTTTCTGGACCCCTTCCTAACGTCTTACCCATTCTGCACTTCTTTAACGACCTCTCACTTTGCAGAGAGAGAGCAGCATCAGATGCCTCAGGTTGAAAGGGAGAGGTCAGCTACCTACATGTGACTCCAAATTAAAATGAACAAATCTAACAAAATGAGTAAAATTTCCCAGTGAGCATGATGGTACACGCTATAATCCCAGCACTCTGGCAGGCTGAGGCAGGCAGATGGCATGTTCAAGCCCAGCCTGGGCAACTTGGTGACTTAGTGAGACCTTGTCCCAAAGTAAAAAATAAACATAAAAAGTTTGGGGATATACCTCAGTGCTAAGAGTCTGGGTTCAATCCCAAGTACCACCATCAAAAAAAAAAAAGATCCTCCAAAGGCTGGCACACTTTGACTTTGCCCATGTTTTCCTTAATTTTTCCCAGTTAAGATCCATGGCTTGGAAGGTGGCAGTGTCTTCCCAGATAGCCACACGAAGAATAACACAACTAGACAGCAAAACCAAAACCCCACAATGAACACCAAAACAATAGCTCAGTTTACTCTTGAGCCTCAGAGTTCAAGCCAACAGGGACACCAAAGGACCAAAGAACAGCAGAGCCTCACATAGGCAGCACCCACTCACTGGACAGGGCCACGGGCCCAGAGACACAGAGCCAGCCAGGAGCACAGAGCTCAGGCGGGAAGCACCAGGCAGACTCTGAGAATCAAAACTGATAGAGACAAAGAAGACAAAGGGAAAACAGAGACAGAAGAAGCTGGGGAGGGGAGGAGTGAAGACTTCTCCAGAAACAAGCCACTAGGTCTTTAGCATACATGGAGGCAACAGAAGAGGGACCTCTGTAAGGTCAGAAAGGCTCTCTGAGTCAGACCCTCTTCTACAGGTGTGGAATATTCATTCACATGAAATCAAGCAATGAAGAGTCCAAGGTCAAAGCACACACAAAATAAGCCTAAGGAAAAAAATAATAAAGAAAAATTAACATCCCAAAATGTCAACCTCACAAAGCAGATTTTTACTGAAACCTATTATGTCAAAACAAGCTAATTTACATTAAGAAAATTGTAGGTGGCACGTAAGACCAGCAGAAGATAGAATTAGAAAAACTCAGACATTAGGTGATGAAATTTGAGAAATATTACCAAAAAAATTACAAAAAAGAAATATTTTTGAAAACTAAATTATCAAGACTAAAGACAACAAACAATGCTTTTAGGAGAAATAAAAAATGAAAGACATTTTTAAACTAAAACTAGAAATGAAGAAATGATAAAAGATTTGAAGCAATGTGTGAAATGCGGAAATCAGTCAACATGCAATCCGTTGTACAAGGTTTTGAAGAAGAAAACCAAGGCATAGGATAGCAGGAGCATGAGAAACAGAACTCATGAGTGTTTCTTAAAAAGACCCTGAAGCCTCATAAAGAAAGACATGTAGCTGAGAATGCTGATACACCTTTCCTCACACCGGGACCTATTCTAATAAAAGTATTTTTGGACATCTGTGTGAGAAGACCACGTGACTTATAAAGGAAGGACAGTCCAGCTGCCATCAGACTCCTCAACACCAACGCCTCACACTGGAGCTAAATGGAGTGACAAGGACAGTAAATAGCACCCAAGGATGTTTGTAACCAGACAAATTTGCTGTCAACAGTACAGAACACAAGCCTACAATGTGCAAAGTCTCTGAACTTTTTCTATGAGCCCAACCCCAAGGAGCTATAGGGGGTCAAAACTGAGTAGAAAGGTATTGACACAAGACTGGTGGTCAGCTTTCAGTGCACACCCGCAAATCTGTGCAAGACAGACGTCACCAGGCCTGTCCAGGAGAGAGTGAGAGGGCGGCACATATTTGATCATGTGACAGTGCCTGGGACAGCAGCTGGAAAACAACCACAGGACATGCAAGGAAGACCCAGGACCTACAAAGAATGTAACGGCTCTCAGGCACCATAACTGGTAGTGGTTTTGGTAGAGATTAGCCATCAGTGGCTGCTAATGTCACAAAAACCATAAAAGGTGGGGTCACATGCCTCTGACATGACACAGCACATCCTGTAGTCTGGCCAGCAGGACTGAACCTAACCTGTTCAAACCCTGAGCCCAGCTGCTAATTTGACTGCTCATCTGGCAGATGATAAAGAAGCCTCATTCAGCCTTTTCTTTGGCAGGGGTCTGGGAAGTGTTCTGATCTTACAGCCTCCTCCCGATTTGTGTCTTTATCTGTATCTTCAATTTCCTTGATCTGATCTCAGCCCACTTGGTAGAACCGGCCATAGAGGAGGCTGCTTTACAATCCTATCCGTCATTCCCGCACCCTCGGGTTTGGTGAAACAGAGCTGACTGGCTCTAGGGGGCTTTACTCTCTGGATGGTCCTGCAGTCATTGATAGCTGGTTCCTCCAACCCAATTCTGATTTAGGAACAGACTTCCTACTTTCCAGGCCATGCAGACTTCCCACATTGAGGGAATTGGGATCAAATATGTGTATGGAGTCCTCCAGTTGGGATCAAACAGGTATGTGGAGTCCTTCAGATCCCCAAAGGTCTGTGGCCTGGACATTTCCAGCAGACCAAGGAACGCTCTCTCCAGCTGTGTTGGCCACCACTGGGGACACAAGATGGGTTTTAGAGTCTAATGATTTGCAGTCCTCACCCTCCCTTTAGCACCACCTGAATCACAGCCACGCCTCCATCTCTGCCTATATCACAGGAAACAGGGAGAACAAACACATATCTACCCCGCAAGCGATCCTGCCGCACCCGCAACTCAGCAGCTGCCACCCATGGCTGAAAATGGATCCGAGGCCAATTACTGTTCTTCCCTTTGCCTCTGTGTTTGCCCCCTGCCCTAAGAGTAGAAGACTCAGCAGGTTACAATCCGATCCCAGAAGCTGTGATTTGCACACATGCACGTGGAAAACGTCCGAAGCAAACTCATCGCACCATCTGGCGGAGCTGCCCTGTGGACCAATCCCCTAGAGTGCCCTCTCCACTGAGTCATCACGACACTTGCTTTCCAAAGCTGGGGAGCCTGCACCAGATGTCAACACAGTCCTTCAGTATCATAGCCAGAGAACTCTGTGCATGCACCAGCAGCCCTGGAGTATACCTGCACCATGACTCCCTTAGCAGGTGGCAACCATATACACAGTCCCTGCTGCACCACTAGGGCTGTGTAGGTCACCAGCATCCGTGATGGGCCTTTGGAGGCCCCTTGGCAAAGAGCAGTCTGTCTCACAGAACCCCAACTCCTTGTTCTTCTACCCTTTGTCTTTGAGGAATTTACTTAAGCAGCTAGTATTTTTTAATAGACGGCTCGGCTCTTCATTCCTTTCTTAATGCTATGGTTGGGTAGGGTACCAGGGATCGAACTCAGACTGCCTGCTTGCAAGGCAGGCACTTATGCCGCTGAGCTAAATCCCCAGCCCCTAAAGCTGATTGCATTTGTATATCAGATATTTTTCCTTTCTCATGGCTTTTTAAACTGAGCTCTGATGTTCTGTTTCTGCTCTATTATTTTGCTTTTTCTGTATCAGTGTGGTAACCATAACAAATACAGCCAGTAGGTGGCTTCAGCAATGGAAATTTACCAGTTCATAGTTCTGGAGGTGGAAGTCGGAGCTGGAGCTGGAGGTGTGGGCAGAGTGCATTCCTTCCTTCCGGGGCTGTGGGGAAACCTCTTCCAGGTCCTCCTGCTCCTGCTGGCAGCTGGTGATCTTGGGTGTTTGCTGGTGTAGAGAGGTTTGGCTACGACTCTGCCTCACCTCTGCCTAGCATTTTGCCCCTTCATGTCTTTCTCTGTCTCCAAACTTCCCCTTTGCATAGAGGGACCAGCTCTGTTGGATTTAGACTCTATTCTCATGGCCTTGTCTTAGCCAAACACATCTGCAAACAACCCTGTTCCAAGGATGGTCTCCGGCAGAGACACTGTGGGGAGGGGCCCTTTGGGGGACGCAATTCAACCCCCATCATGTACCCTGTTCCTTTTCTTTCCATCTTCTATGATTCCTGGGCCTTTTCCTGTTCTCTACATGAAACACTTTTTCTGCTATTTTCTTCTTCCCTGCTACGGGATCTCTGATGTCCACACAGGGAACCTGGGGCTTCCTGATCACTGAGTGAGGGAAGAAAAGTGATCATGGCTCATGTTCCAGGCAATCCCAAAACACAATAACTGCCTTTCAGAGTGGGGTCTGTTACCTGGCAAACAGCCCGGGCTCATCAGATCTCTGCCTCTTTCAGACCCAATACCACTAATTCCACTTAATACAATTTGTCTGAATAAAATATGTTAGGTCTTAGAGAACATGGCATGTTTGGATATTAATACGGGCTTATGCAAGCAGGAAAATCGAGGTCACTTTCATATCCCCTCTAGTGTCATGTTTACTGGCAATAAGCGCTCCATTTAACGGTTGCCGGATCTCATTCTATCCTGGCGGAAGCTAAATTAACTACCCTCCTATTTATTACCTGCTCATTAAAAGCGTGGTACCCGAAGCTGTAATGGCAGCTTCCATTATCACTCACCCCACAACAATGCCATCGTCCTTGCCAAGGACTTTATACCTTTTCCCTGCGGAGACTTGGGGAGGCCTCCCTCCCCCAGCAAACATGGGCTGAGATCTGAATTTCAGCTCTCATTTTCTTGGCCTTTGAGGACGCTTGCACGCCGTCGATAGCCTCAGTAGTTCACCTACACGCGTGTGTGTGTGTTTGACCTGCTGTGTGGGGGTAGCAGCCGAGGCTCTGCAGGGTCAGTGTTTGCTGGAGGAAGAAGCCAGCCTGGAAATAAAATCAGGACGCTGGAATTCCTTCACTGAGTATTTTCATACCAGGTTTTGATACAAACCCAGAGAATCACATGAGTATATAAAGGTCCATCCTTGTGACAAATGGAGACAGCCAAACTAATTTTCCTGGTGACCTTATCTAAATTAGTTAGAAAATAACACTTCAGATTTATGGCTAGTTACAATTAAGCCCTTTGATATCTTCTAATTAAACCTGTAAAGATTTATTTCTGTATTATTCCTCCAGTAACCCTTAAAAAATGATAAAAATGTAAATGAACACTCCTTTCAAAAGAGATGTTTCTATTTATCCCAAATTAGACTCGTACCTTTCCATTCAAATGGCTGCATTTTACATCCGGAATTTCACTGCTCAAATGCAAATTTCACATGAGTCTTAAATAATTTATTTTTAAAATGTGTGCAAACTTATACATAATCTCTTAGCATATAAATAGAGCAAACCTCCTACGATAACTTAACCTTATTTTATGTCCCTCATTTTAAAACCCTCTCATCTTATGTAGCCCAATATGCAATTGTTATCTTTTAAAAAAAAAAATTAAGCTAAACCAGATGGCACAAGCCTCTAATCCCAACACTTGGGAGGCTGAAGCAGGAGAATCGCTGTGAGTTCAACACCAGCCTGGGTTACACAATGAACTCAAGGCCAGCCTGAACTGCATAGTGGGACCCTGTCTCAAAAAGACAATAATAATAATAATAATTAGGCTAGCATGATTTTCAACATAATTCCCAGGTACTACAGCTAGTACAGCAGTTCTCTTTTGCCTGGTTTTCTTCCAACCTTTATCTGAGAAAAGATGTGCTCCTGCAGTGACTCCACAACCCAGCTCCAGGCGCTGTAAAATGTGTGACTTGTATCCTGTGATAATTTGCCCTTGGGCCAGCACAGTTTCCTTGCCACTGACCCTGGGTTTCCTTCTTCCCCAGGCGAGTACAGCTACCTGGGGACCACACTGCGCCACCTGACCATAGAGCCCATGCCCTCGCTGCTGGACGTGCGGCAGCTCATCACCTTGTATGGGATCTTGCCGCTAGGTGAGCCTGAGGTGCCGTGTCCCCAAGCTGGGGTGGCTCCCCCACCCTTTGCTGCTTCCAAAGTGGGCTCTTGTTTGTCACCAAAAGGGTCATGCAGCTCAGCTTCTTCTGTTGAGAGTTCACAGCCAACCTGGCTCCACTTGGGCAGTGTGTGACCAGCACAGAAGGAGACAGGGTGGAGAGGGAGGTCTATGCCATTTCTGGGTCTGGACTGAGGACCTACGCTCCACTGGGTGAGTTTGGCCACGTCAGAGGGGGGCCAGAGTGCCACCTGCCTCTCACACCCCAGCCTCTGTGACTGGGCCTAGGTCTTAGTACTCACCAGGAGGCTCTGCAGGTCTTCTCTGCAGTCAGTTGTCACTGCTGAGGCTCGCACGGTTCAGACCAAGCCCTGTGGTATGCCCAGCAATGAGGGAAAGGTGTCTCTCTGTGCTGTACAACAGCAGCTCTCCTTCCTATGGCTTTGGTCCCTGTGTGACCAGAACCATTTGCAGCAGGCACCGTCCCCTGCTGAGCTCCATGGCTGCCATGAAACAGAGCTAGCCATTTGAGCCTGGTGTGGTGGAACACACTTGTAATCCCAGCACTCTGGAAAGCTGAGGCAGGAGAGTCAAAATTCTCAGCTGGGACTGGGCAAATCAGTGATTTAGCAAGAACTTATCTGAGAATAAAAATAGTGAAGGACTGGGGCGGTGGCTCATTGCAAAGCCCCTTAAGAGACACACCCATGGTCCCATTTCCCCCTGGAGCTGGGAGGATGGACACTGTCCCCGCTCTTACAGATTGGTAAGTATTTCTGGGATGGTGAGAACAAGGAGGAGGCCAAGCTGGACTCAGCACCCCACACCCGGCCTCCTCCTCCTCCTCCTAACCCTCTAAATATTGGAGGGGGCAGGTTCCAAGAACCAGCAGCGTTCCGGTCTCTCAAAGAGAACTACAGGAAATGCATGAATGCCAGGACCCTCCTGCCCACCAGTGACCTCCCCAGTGCAGCTTGATGCCAGGTGCAGTGTCCAGACTACTCTCCATCCAGTCAGACCCACCTTTTTCTGTGTCTCCTGCTGCTGATCCCACCCAGACTATGTCCTCCACCCTCTGTCTCCTCTGTCCACCTCTCCCAGCCCTGGTCACAGCCAGCACCCATGGCAAAGCTGCAACCCCAGCCAATGTCCAGGAGCCCTGAGGGCCAGCACCAGTCTCCCTTCACCCCTTCTGCCTGCCGTCCACCATCTCACCAATGAGAGTCACCACCATTGCTCCAGGGCCCAGAGCAGCTGTGTCCCCTCCCCTGAGCTTTCCATGGCGCTTCCCCTGCTCCCAGTCTTTTGAGGGCGGCACAGGCGCCCCCAGCTGGCCATAGGTCCTTCTGTGAGACCATAGGGCTTGTGGAGCTGAGCACCCTTTGCCTCCATAGCTGGGTCTCTGCTCCCCTCTGGCTGCAGACTCTTGGCAGCAAATATCCAATCTTTTTTGAATCTGTAAAGACACACGGGTGTGCACACACACATACACATATGTGTACAATCACGCATGCACACACACACACACACACACACACACACACACACACACGGCCTCCAGTCAAGGCCCTACACAAAGCATCCTTTCATACCAGGGATTGGAGGGAGGGCAGGGCCCAGGCCACAGATCCAGGAGCACTTTGGGTGTCTCAGGATGCACACACACGATCTATCACTGCTGGTCACAGACGATCTATCTCTGCTGCCTGGTGGGTGGTGCCACCCCTGACCTTCAGGAGCATTGACTTGGCCTAGTTCCCCATGCCCACCCCAAAAAAACGATTCCCACCTGAGCCCCACAGGATCACTGCCTGCTGGTAGCCGGAAGGACTGCATGGCCCAACAGCCATGAGTCGGCTACAAGGAGGTGGAGTAAGGACACACAGTCACGGGTCAGTCCTGATGACCCTGGACTCCTCACAAGACCCGGGAACAGCACAACCCATGTTGTAACAAACAAACCATACACCAAGTACAGAACAAAACGTTCATGTGTTGTGGCCAGACTTTGAGGACTGTGGATCGACTTGCTGAGAGAATAAAGGATGGATGGGTCTCTCCCACCTCCTGACATCACTGTGCCCCTGGCCAATCAGGAATAAAGGATGCAGATTTGATTTTATTCTTATGACTTGTTCAAAACTAGTTTCCAAATTTATATGGAGAACTATGTGTAATTGTGCAATTTCCAGCAACCGAGCACAGTCATGCCTCCATTCTTGAACACTTCTGGGGCCAACAATTTGGTTCATGAACAGAAGCCTTACACAGAGTTTGGCTTCAGTTCACAAACCTCACATCAAATGAGGAGCACAACTGTGGCCACCTTTCCACCCAAACATGAACACAGGAATCTTCCCCCAGAATCATGCAACAAATTACGTTTGTGAACCAGGTGCCACTGAGGATTTCCCGTACCTTTTCAGTTGTACAAGAAAGACAGGAAAAGAATGATAACAAGGACACGGGCATTTTAACAGCTGATCACAGAAGGCCTGGACGTCAAACAAAAGCAAACCAACATGACAGTAGAGGTTTCTTTCATAAAGCTGGCCAGGGCTGGATTTAGGCCACCTAATTACCCAGTGTACAGTAAGAGCTCTGCCTGTGCTCTCTGAGATGGAGACCAAGTACGGGACCGTGAATTGGTAGAAAGAGGCGGGGCCTCTGAATGACTATGATAATTCTACTCACTTCATTGCCAAGAGTCAGACCAGCTCCTCTGCAGCAGTCCAGAAGGCAGGGCAGGGGGTAGGAGTCCAGGCCTGTTCTCCACCTGAACTGTAGTCTTCCCTTATCCCATGAGCATCACTGCATGCTAGGAAAGAGGGTTCCAGGAAATAAACACTTCTCAGCCCTTATCGTTGGTATATCTGCGTTCCTTTCTGACGATTTCATAGTACTTAATGTTGTTCTCACAAAACATGAAGCCAGTGGTACATAGTTATTGCAGGAATGCGCCTTAAAATTATGAGTTTGGGAAAGTGTTAAGAAAGGATGGGAGAGGAACCCCATAGACCCTAGAGCTGACTTAACAATCAGAGGTAGCGGGGAGCGCGCTGGGGTGCAGGAGGCCGGGCATGTTCTCCACGCACAGCAGCTGTGACCCCAGCATCTGCTGGTCCCACAATGCACTCGCGGCCCACAGGTGTCCCTGGGCAGATATGCAGGCCTTCTTGGCAGAGTGCTAGAGCCGCTGCCTCTGCCTTTTGCAGGCTCTGCAACAGTGCACGAGAAGGCTCCCCTGGTGAAATCGCTGCTGTTGGCCGGGCCATCCGGGGTAGGAAAAAAGATGCTGGTCCATGCCATCTGCACAGAAACAGGCGCCAACCTGTTCAACCTGTCAGCCGCCAACATCGCCGGGAAATACCCAGGCAAGAACGGGCTCCAGATGATGCTGCAGGCTGTGTTCAAGGTACCCACTGCACTCTCAGTTTCCAATTTTAATTCCTGCAAATACCTTTTTAAAGCCAAGAACACAGGTCTCTCTAATGGTCTTCCCATAAATGACTTCTCATCCCATCTGCCTGAGAATTCTGCAACTACAAACAGCCTGTTTTTCCATAAAAATATCCTCCTCTGCCACCCATTCCTGCCCCTCTGGCCACAGGAATCTTCATAGTGAGTAGGAGTCTTGCTGAAAATTAAATCCATGGTTTCTTTCTTCAGCTCACATTGCCATAATACTTGGCGTCAGATATTTGCATTTTGTGATATTCTTTCTTGGTGGCGTGCAGCGCAGGGCTGTGTACCTTGGACACTGCGGTGGAGAATGCAGGAAGTTAAGCAGAGCACAGTAGTGAAAGTATCCAAGGTCCCATCAAGCTCTGCTCCCTAGGGGCTCCACAGCACAGTGGTGATGATGCAGGGAATGGGTCACAGATATGATACCCTGACAGGAATGATTGTAGCTCCCATGAGCTAATGACAAGTCCCAAACAAGTGACCGCAGAAGGCTGTCCCCCTTTGACATGTGGTCCTCTCCCTGCAGCCCCTGGGACACTCCCACTCTCTTTTGCCCCCTAAGTTATCACGAAGGAATCAAGTCCCCAGCATCCAGCTGCATAGCCGCTGTTTTCATGTGGTTTCGGTCCTCGTGTAGCTTCTTCCTGTGAAACATCTGCTAAAGTCATTTGCCTGCTTTTGAAGGGCTTGTGGATGTGTGATTTTGAGAGCACTTAGTATCCTCTGAATGCAAATCTTAGTCAGACACACACACCACAGACGTTCTCTCGTTCCGTGACTCGGCTCTTTGTCTTCTTACTGACTTTCCTTTTGCAATTGCTCTGCCAGCACCCGACCTCCAGCCCTGTGTATCACTGTTTTTCTCTCTACTGGTCTGTCAACTTTGCCTCTTCCATGCTAAGGCACCTTTAGGAGATGCATCCACAGCTAGGATGCTGCCTTCCTGGTCATTGTGTCATTATGAAATGTCTTTTTTTTTTGCCTCTAGAAATAATCCTTGTCTTGAAATCTACCTGGTCTGATATTAATGTGGCCATGTTAGCTTCAAGTTTATTGTTCTTTATGTTAAACGCCTTCATTCACGTAGTTAGGCTGTCATTTCCTATTTATAATCTTCTAGTTTCCTTATTCAATTTCACTTTCCCTGCCTTTTGCGTTTCATGTAAATGTGCTCTGTCTTTTCAGCAATACTTTGCTTTATGTCTCAGTGGTTGTTCTATGGATTTGGAGTCATTCTTGACTTGCCTGTCCTGTAGAATCAATATTGTGCCATTTTACATAAAGTGGGAGAAGCTGGCAATGGTATAAGGCACTTATTATTCCTGTCCTTTAAATTCTCATTATCACACATTTTCTACCTAGAAACATTATAAGTACCACAGTAGAATGTCCCCTTTCATGTGCATCCATGTGTTTAGCATTTCAACTCCCCATCTGTCTTAGTTACTTTTCTCTCATTGCTGAGACAAAATACCCAACACCCAAAATGAAGGAAGGAAAGGTTTACTTAGCTCACAGTTTGTGGAAGTTTCAGTCCATAATCAGCTGGCTCCAAGGCTGGGTGATGTGGCAGCATGGCATGCTTTCATGGCAGTGAAAAACAGCAAAAGCAGCTAGAGCAAAAGGGGAAGAGCTCACTTCCTTCCCTCCCTCAAAGTGCATGTAGGTTACCCTAGGGTAGGGTAGCACTCTCACACCCACAATCCCAGCATTGGACCAGGAGTCAATCACAAATTCTAGAAGCCTTCCCCCATGACTGCGTGAGGCTTTCGGGGGACATCCAGACACAACCCATAGCACCATCCTTCTCAAGCAACTCACTTCTCCCTCTGGCTTCCTTCTTCTTTCAGCTGAAAGACTTTATCATTATTTTAGTGCAAGTTGATGCAGCAAATTTCCTTAGCTTCAGCTCATTTGTCTTAAATCATCTTTACATTTCCTTTACTTTTTAAGGACATTTTTGCTAACACAGAATTCAGGGTTGGCATATTATACACTCAATATCATTCCATCATCTGCTGGCTTCCATTATTTCTGATGAAACATTCCTAAACACTTGAACTATTTATCTCCTACATGTATGGATCATTATTCTCTAATTTTTTAAGGATTTCTCTTTAGTTTGCTTTCTACCCATTCAGCTACGATGTGTTCAGGTGTTCTTACCTGTTGTTTCTCGTATTTGCTCAACTTGTGGCTTGCTGTATACATTGAGCCTAAACATGTATTTTTAAACCAAATTTAGGGAATTGGGGCCATTATTTCCCCCCAAAAAATCTTTTACCCTATGCTCTCTTTCTAAGATCCTCTTACATACATATTTACTTGTTACTATTCTACGAGTCACAGAGTATCTGTTATCTCTAGTTTCCACACTAATAATTTCCATTAATTCATGTTTAAGTCACCATATCCTTTCTTCTACAACCTCCAATCTGTTAGTAATCTCATCTTGTAGATTTTTTTATTTCTGTTATTTTATTTCCTACTTCTAGCATTTGCATTTTCTTACTAGGATTGTTGTTGATTTCTTCTGTTCATTCAAGGTGACCATCTTTGCCTTTAAGTCTTTGATGTTAAAGTTGCCCTGTGGTCCTTATCTGATGATTCTACTAGGGAGCATTTCACTGATTTTGCCTTGAGTATGCATCACATTTTCCACTTGCTCATATGATTAATAAGTTTTAACATGTATTAGATATTGTGCAGAAGCCCCAAAGCAAGCTGGACTTTGTTCTAACCAGCTGTTAAATTGCTGGCTACAGAGGATTTGGTTCCTATGTCATTAATGTCAGTCTATTTTGACTTTGCCCTAGTCCTGGGCAATAACTGCCTTAGACCTGAGACAGGATCTTTACTTCGAGGTTGCCCTGGAAACCTTGTGCACCAAGCTCCTCTGACCTGGCCGTGGCTGAGGTTTGGGCTCAGTTATCTCGCTTCTCTCACTCTTGCTCTTCACTGGGATTGTTGCAGTCCTCCATTCTGTGCACACTTCAGAGATCAGCCAATGGTTTAGAGATGAGCTGGACTTGGAAGCCAGGCGGCCTGCCTTTGAGGCCCTGGAGCTCCTAGCACTAAGATCTTCAGGGGAAAAGTGAAAGAAACCCATCCTCTTGGCAAAAAGAACACCTGAATGTGTTCCTTTGGAACGTTAGGCTTTGTTGACATTTGATACTGTTGGGTAACAGACAGAAGCCCATAAATACAAAAACATCACCAATTTGCGAGCAACTAAATCTCCCAGACACCCAGTCCACACTAACACACTCAGCTCTCACAACCACCTCATGAAGCAGGCCCTGTCACTGTTCACATTTTACCAATAAGAAAACCCAGTGCTGCTGTGGGTCCCTGCAGGACTCATCGCAGAGCCTCGGTCCCAGAACCTCAGGAAGCAGCCTGCATCTGAAAGTGCACTACACTGCCCGTCTCTCTTCCTGCTGCCCAAGTGCCTCACAGCTGCTGGCCTGAACCCAGGGCAGAGTCAGTGCCCTGATCACCATGTCCTCACTCTGGGAGGTTATTCATCCCTGTCCCTGAGAGCTTTTGTCTTGATATCACATGAGCTGTCTTTGCACTTTATTAGAACTGACATTACTCGGACCACAAAATGCTGAATGTCAAATTATTAAAATATGGAACAACACGTTTATCGAGCTAGGCAGCCTCCAGTCAGAGTGCCCAACACACACCTCATTAAGCCTCACCTTTATTGCATGTGCAACTGATTAATGAAGACCCAGAGGTCTCGGGAGTGGGCGCATTCAATTAAAAACTGTGTGCAGTGAGGCCACCATGCCCTGGGGGGCTGGCACACAGCTATCTGCACTGCAAAGAGGTATTTGCTTTTCGTTAACCAAAGGGAAGCAACACTGTGCTGGCACTGGGACATCAGGAGTGGGAAGCTGGCGCTTGTTGTCACTGTGCTGTGGGAACCAAAGGATGCAGGCCAGGGTGGAGGACAGCAAACAGGAGATCTGTGAGAGATGAAACCGCAGCGGGCCTCTCCTCGTAAAGAATTCCCAAGTGTCCGGAGGGTGAGGAACTCACCCACGGGGAGGCCGCTGAGGGATTCTGAGGGGATGCCGGGGGCCTCGCTATAGACAACCCAGGGCAGCTGTCCTTGACTTGTTACACAACCCTGAGTTCAGGCCCCTTGCATTACCATCATTTGTGGAGGATCCTTTTACTTCACAGACAATAATTTAACAGGAGACCAAACGAAGTAAGCATATTTCCTTTACTGCACCAGCAAACAGCTGTCATCTCATGTTGTCTGTAGGACTAAAGCTATGTGGAAAAGGAGGTGAGGGTCTTGGGAAATTGGAAATACACTCATCTAGCCAGTGAATAAACAGGATAAAAGTGATGGCTGCTCAATAAGCGTTTTGTGGACAACAGGAGGCCCAAGGTGGGCACCAGCCTCTCTGGGTCTGGGGGCTGGGGGGTTGTTTTGTTTCTTTGTTGTGATCATTTTGTTTGTTCATTCTGATATTGGTGGCTGAGCCTGGGGAATGCTGAGCTGTACACCCAGACCGTTTGAGACAAGGTCTTGCCAAGACCTTTGGACTGATCTTGAATTTGTGATCTTCCTGTGTTGCTCCTAAATTTTTATAGTAGTAAATCGGGGGACAGAGGAGTAGAAGGGGCTTTTGGTGACCTCCAGCCAGGAGTGAGGCCCATGCCAAGGAGCTGTATATCTACTTTCCCTTTGTATTGTGTCAACACCCTAATGAGACAGGAATTAAGGTCCCCACTTTACAGAAAAGAATATTGAGACAATGCCTAATTTGACCAAAAATACAAAAGAAGCAGAGGGCTAGGATCCAGATTGAAGCCTAGCCTGACTCCCAAGCAATCACATTAGTCCTGGCCAGCCTCAGGGCTCCCTGCCCTGTCTCCCCCAGGAGGGGAAGGTCCTGGGTCGCAGGCCAGTGGGAGCTAGCAGCT